GCAGGCAGGCAGGCAGGCAGATCACAGTTCAGTCATTAGAAGTGTATAAACATCCTGATCAATAGCACCTGCTATGATAATCAACTTCGTCCTACTTATATTTCACTAAGATGTTTCGAGTCAAATTACTGGAGAGCCGAAACCTTGGTAGAGATAAGCATGCCAACATATTTTTTTTCAACTCAGAGGGGCCACTGAACCGATGGAGAGAACACTTTGATCAACTATTGAACAGACCACCTCCAGAAAACCAACCAGAAATTCTTCCAGTCAGAAATGACCTCCCAATCGCTACGGAACCACCTTCAAGAGAGGAAATTACTGCAGCTATAACAACACTGAAGTCCCACAAGGCAGCTGGTCCGGACCATATACCACCGGAAGCCCTTAAGGCAGATAAAGATACATCAATGGAAATCCTCTATGCTATTCGAAAAGGTTTGGCAAGAAGAGGAAATACCATCATACTAGAAGGAAGGCCATCTAATCAAGCTGCCAAAGAAAGGATACCTCAGCAATTGTAACAACTACAGAGGCATAACACTCCTGTCCGTACCTGGGAAAGTCTTTAACAGGATACTCCTGGAGATAATCAAGTTGGCAACAGATGAGAAGCTCAGAGGAAACCAGGCAGGATTCCGCAAGAACCGATCATGTGTGGACCAGATAGCTACCCTGCGCATCATTGTCGAGCAATCGTTTGAATGGAATTCACCACTAGTGGTCAACTTCATTGATTATGAAAAGGCACTTGACAGCGTGGACAGGGAAACTCTGTGGAAACTCATGCGCATTATGGAATACCTGACAAAATCGTCAAGCTTGTGAAGACCACCTATGATGGAACAAACTGCCTAGTCTTCCACGAAGGACAACTCTCAGAACCATTCCAGGTACAGACAGGAGTGCGACAAGGATGCCTGCTCTCACCTTTTCTCTTCATACTTGCAATTGACAGGATCATGAAGGAAGCCACCAGAGGCAAGCGCAATGGAATCCTTTGGCAGTAGCTGGACGACTTGGACTTCGCCAATGACCTTGCATTGCTCTCTCACACATGCTCAGATGCAAGAAAAGACCAAGGAACTCAACAGCCTATCAAGGAGTGTAGTTCTATGTATACGCCCGGGCAAGTCGAAAGTAGGGAAGCTAGGGAAAGTGTCAAGCCCTGCTGTGACAGTGGAAGACAATCCCCTAGAAGAAGTGGACTCCTTTACTTACCTTGGAAGTGTCACCGAGGGTAAAAGTGGAACTGAGGCAGATGTAAAATCAAGAACCGCCAAGGCAAGGTCAGCATTCAAGCAATTATCAAAAGTTTGGAGAGCAAGCAACATCTCATTGCACACCAAGATTCGACTCTTTAATTCCAATATCAAGTCTGTGCTCCTCTACGGCTGCGAAACTTGGAAGACAACAAAGACAGTGCCGAATAAAGTCCAGACTTTCATCAACAGATTTATGAGGAGTATCCTAAAAATTAAGTGGCAGAATAGTATAAGAAATGAAGAGCTATGGGAAAGGACTGAACAAAAGGATACAGAAGTAGAAATAGGACTAAGAAAGTGGCGTTGGATGGGACACACCTTCAGAAAGCCCATCAGAAACATCACAAGACAGTCACTGCAATGGAACCCTCAGGGAGCACAAGGAGCTTGTACGTGGCCTATACCCTGCCAGGGGTGAAAGCTATTTGCCAGGAACAGAAGTGTATAAACATCCTGATGAATAGCACCTGTAATGATAATCAACTTCGTCCTACTCATATTTCACTAAGACGTGTCGAGTCAAATTACTGTTGAGCCGAAACCTTGGTAGAGATAAACATGCCAACAGATATCATTATATATA